AATTTATCTGTAGTAAAGGGAATTTTTATAAAGGTAACTTTTATATGATTAAATAGAAAATTAAAGTTAAAATAACAAGTATTTTTTAAATATTACAAATTAACAAATTAAAATTGTTACAATTTTTATTAGAAAATACTCTTTATTACTAACTAGAGAATAAATTGCATGGTACTACAGTATTATCAATAGAAGATATAACTCATGGGTTGTCTCAAAATTTGATCAAAAAAATAATATCAGCTATAAAAAAATAAAGAGAAAATAAAAAAAAAGTATATCATATAGATTATTATTATAATTAATTATCGATAGATCAACATGCTTTATAAATACATAAAATATCAATAATAAAAATAAAGAAAAAAATAATATAGTAAATCAAATTATTTTAGAGAGTACTGGCTATAGTGGGAAAGTATATTAATATAAAAAAAAATGAATAATCATAGGTTGAATAAATATATGTATTTAAATTTAATAAAAAAAATTTTTTTAAATTTAAAGTTAAAAAATATTTTCAAAAGAAAATATACTAGTTAAAATTTTTTTTATTAAAATAAACTCAGGTAAATTTAAACATATTTAATTTAATTTAGTTAAATCAAGCAATTATAGTTGAACATGTTTTGAAACAGGCTCAAAATATATCAAATTGGTTTCAAATTGTTTTTGTATTAAATCAAATTGAATTGAATAGATTCAAATTTGAATTGGATAGGATCAAATCAGATTTGGATTCAAATCAGATCAGATCAAACTATTATAATTTTAAATCAAATCAGATCAGTTTAAAACGAATCAGATCCTTATCTAATTCATATTTATAAAAATCAGATTGAATTAAATCTAGTTAAATCTAATCTAATTTATTTTGTTATAATTTCTAATATTTATTAATTATATATAAGTACTATCTCATCAAAAAACCATATGATTTTTTTTTAATTTTTTCCAGATCAGTTTTATTAAAAGTAGTTTGATTATCAGGCTATCAAATTTCTTTATCCTGAATCTGAATTTTGATCCTTTAAAGTAGTTTACAGATTTCTCCTCCTACCAAGGCCTCCCAATTGTTAAGTCTATAGGTCAAGATATAAATATATACAATTGGATAAGATCTTCAGTAAATATAATATATAATTAAAAATTTAATAAGTATATGAATTTTGATAAATATTTAATGATTTTTTGAGAAAAATTTTAATGAAATATATAGTAAAATAGTGTGAATTATATGACAAATAATATCAAATTATATAGTAAAAATTGAATGATGATTTATTTATATCAAATTATATAGTAGAAATTGATTATAATTTATTTATGTTATTAATATGTCAAATTATTTATTATATAATAATACTATATAAATACAAATAAAACAAAACTAAACCAGTATTTAAAAAAAAAATTAAAATATATTATATTATATATAAATAATTACTTATGTACTGTATATAAATTACTAATATAAAAAAAAAAAAAACTCTTTTTGCTGATCCTCTGACCATATACAAAAAAGATATTTGCAAGAAGTTTTTATACTTCTTTGCTAATAAAGTCTTAATACTTTCCTTAAAACAACTTGAAGTATGACTTCAAAAGTCACCTCTACCCTTGCCCTTTTGTTTACAAACCTCTTCACTCAAAAACTTGACTTCTAGTAATCAAGAAAAGTCAAGAAACACCTTTGATACCAATGGCAAGAAAGTTCCCAAAGGAAGAAGAACTAACTGTAAAGTACCTAAATGTCGATCTAACCTTTGAAGTGAGAGGTATATTGAGGTTTTTGATGACAGAAGGACTTACTTTTCTCCTTCCAGTCACTGTTGAACCTCTTAGAGCTATCATTTTTATGGTTTTCTAAGGAATTTTGCCTATTGCAGTTTGACCCTGAATTTTTAATAGCACAAATACTCTCCAAAGGTGATTGGCTGACATGAAACACGTTGGTTTTTGGAATGTAAACAGCTCCTATTGGTTACATTTATGTGTTCTGATGACATCATTGATGATTGAAAAGAATGTTCTGGAAATGGTTACTCTCAAAAAGCTTAAGTCCCTTAATGAAGACTTCCATGACACCAAAAAACCAAACAATGAGTAATGTGAATTGCAAACTCCCATCTCTTACCTAAGTTCCTCAAGTGGTGATAAAGCTTTAATGAAAAAAAGCTGAGGTCTAAATGCTTTCCTTGAAATATCCCAATTCGGTGCCTACTTAAATGAAAAACTAGTTGGATTGACTCGTCCGATGCCACAGGTAGTGAAAAAGAAGATTTCTTCCAAGGTTCAAGTGAAGCAAGAAGACTATCCCAATCAAGCAGATCTCTTTTGAGAAGAGGTTGTTTTTATTTTTGGATTTTTTTAATAAACCTTGAATTGTCACCTTTCCCCAATCGTTTTTCCCCTTTCCCCTTTTTAACTTAGCAATTCATTGGTTTTCGAGCAATCAACAGTGACAAACTGTTGGCAATGATCCTGGTAGATAGAGGTTATTACCAATCTATTGAGGAAGTATAATATTGTTTCCAAAATCTGACTTAGAGTACTTTTATATGAAAACGAGTTAGTCACATTGTGAAAGTCTATAAAATATTGTAGATTTACTTTAATTTTTCAATAAAGACAAGCCATTGTGGCATGATTGCGGGTTAAAAAAAAAAAAATTTATATATAACTTATAAATATTTATATGAATTAATATATTAAATTTAAAAAAAATTTTTTAAAATAATAATATTAATTAAATTATTTTAATTAAAAATTATTTATAAAATCAAATATTTATATTAATATATTTTTATATTTTTTAAATAAACAAATTTTGTATTATAATAAAATTTTTAATTTTTAAAGAATTTAGACAATTTTTTTCATCCCCTACTATATATGTAACAATAAATTAGTTTTTTTTATAAAAATTTATAATATTATAATTAATTATATAAACTTTTCAATAAAATAAGTCAGATAATGTAATTATAAATTAAATAAATAAATAAAGAAATAATAAAACTTATTTAATATATTTAAAATATAGTTAAAATAATTTATATTTAAATAATAAAAAAATATGAATAAGATATATTATATAATTATTGAGTAAATAAGTGAACTTAAAATTTCAATTAAAGATAATATAAATATATTAAATAGAAATTATAAGCTTTGAATTTTTTCTTTTTTTTTTTAAAGTTTAAATTTAATAAATTATTATTTTTTGAAATAATTTATAATAATAATATAATAAATTATTGATGATAATTATAATAAATAAAGATTCAAATATCAATTTACAAGAGAAGTGAAATATTATTTTCTAAATTTGACTTAGAATATCTAATTTAAACTTTGCTTCGTTTAATCCAAACTAATTTAGTAAACTCATATTTTTTAAATAATATAATCTATTTAATGTTTCAATAAAGATGTCAAGATAACATGATAACACAATTGTGAATTTATTCAAGCTTTAAAACCCACACTAACAAGAAAAATGAATACGTTATACATATTGGTATTTTCATTCTTGTACAGTGTATTCCTTTGTGTGTATCACTTTGGCCAATCGCGTGCAAAGATTTTAAGATTACCCTGACAACCTGCTAGATATTGTTTTTCACAGCGTAAAAAAATGTCACGTGAATTTTATTACAAACCTTGCATGGATCTTCAAACAACACGATGTCCCAGTATACTGATTTTAGAATATTGGCTTCTCGTATTCTCACCGTATTTTGGTGTTACGTAAATCTTCACGCTGTACAGTCCAAAGGTAATGTTCACTAATCAATCACAAAAATTTTTTATAAAGCTCATCACGGAAACAAATGGAACAATTAATTTTGTACAACAAAATTTTTTTATTTTCTTGAACTTTGAAGAACGGCATAATGGCCGTATCGAATTATCTTTTAAACATTGATGCAAAAATAAATCATGTCGTCTCCCAATTATTGTATCGGCATGCAAAATTTTGCACCACACATTATGTTTCAGTAATCATCATTTCAATCCTCATCGTATTGCCATTATGCTATCCAGCATTTGACACCTACTACCTACGCCCATTTAAAAATGAAAATCAACCTTTCTTCTGGGAAGAATTACCATCCAGCTCAGTCGTCGCAAAAGATACCTTTTTGGAAAAATGCAAAACTCAACCTTCTTTTCACGTAGAACAGGTTGTGATTAGAACCACTACATCGATGAATCGCAAAAGGGGGAATAGTGGGGTTTTGAGTAGAGACTTATTATTGTGGTCTTTACATCTTCAAGAAAGAATTGCAAATGCCGCCGTAGTGTATTCCAACAGACTTTCTCCTCTCATTCCTCTTCCAGCAAAAGAGTATACTCTTTCCGACCTTTGTTTAAAGCCTTTCAACAATAAGGATTGCTTAATTTTATCACCACTTGAATACTGGTCATACAGCAAAGAAAAATTATCTAAAGATCACTCAATTCTTAGATCACTAACATTATCCAACAAAACCACTTCTTATGGTATACCGATGCCTTTAAAATCTGTTTTTGGAAATCCTTTATATGACAAAAAGAATGGTAATATAATTAGAGCCGACTCGATAATTTTGACTTACTTCTTTGAAGAGATAGGAGATTGTGCTGAGGATCAAACCATTGATATATGGGATATGCTGTGGAATAAAGTAGTCAATTGTACGGAAACAAATTGCCATATCGGGGATAAACAAATTCAAGGGATAAACATGACAACTCATGGGAATTTAAAACATCTTTATCTAGAGGTATCCTTCGATTTTCTTCGAGGTGATTATTGTTTCTCTCGAGAAAATATTGATATACCTACACGTCAAAATTTTTTAAAAGTTTGGCAAAAATAGCTCTGCGGAATTTCCCGTTGAATTAGTCCTTCTTACATTGGAATATCTAGCAGCATTCCTTTATATTTCACTTTCTCTTGGTCGCCTTAACTCTGTCAAATCAAAATTTGGTCTCGCCTTGTCAACCGTGGTTCAACTATTCGTTTCCTTGGTCATGTCGATTAGTATTTGTTCCCTATTTGGATTCAACTTAACCCTTATGTCTTGGTGAGCTGATTAATTTAAGATACTTCTTATTTGAATATTTATATTAACTTAACTTGTTAAAAAAGGAAATCGTTACCCTTCATCCTCATCATCGTCGGCGTTGAAAATATGTTTGTATTGGCTAATGCGGTTACATCAACTCCAATGCAACTGGAAATTAAAGAACGTGTTGGCAAAGGTACATATACAACCTTTATTTGCTAATTTTATCTTGAATACTGATTCAATACCGCTTCATATTTTCCTCCAAAGGCCTCGAGAAAGTTGGCTATTCCATCACGAAGGCTTTTGTCACCGGACTCCTTTTGTTGCTCGTGTGTTCTGCCACGGGCATCGATCTGGTCCAAGAATTTTGTATTTTTACCTCCGTGGCAATGATCATAGATTATGTCCTGCAGATGTCATTTTTCGTCACCATTTTGTCGATTGACATTCGGAGATTGGAATATGAAGTAAATGTTATGGTATATTAGCGAATAATTTTCATCAATGGACCGGTTACTTACGTTGTTTTTATTTTAGATCTCCAACTTGTACAGTCGTGCGCCCATGACCACCATAAATTCCA